ATGTCTGCATGCGGCTGATGACCACTAAAGCTGATCCACCACCCCCTCATCCGGCGAAAAGACGCTCTAGGACTCCCCCCGCCCCTTCCCCCCTGCCGCCCTGACTTCATATGTAAGAAAACCCGTTTTGACATGACTTCCACCCACCTATAAATACTGTGGGGCGCGATACCACACTCACCTCCGACGATGGAAGCTTGTATGCTTTTGAAACGTCAGGACAGTAAAACAATGGTTCTTAAGATCGCCTTTTCTTCTCATATATATACATATATATATGAGAAGATAAGGCGATCACAGGAACCATGGATTTATTTGCCTGACGTTTCGAAAGCAAACAAGCTTCCATGATCGGATGTGGGTTGCGTACTGCACGTCACAGTATTTAAGGGTTTTCTTTCGTGCTGGCGTGTCACTGACTTCCAGCGCGCTGCATCACACGGCATGGCGATGGTTGTCATGGCGGCATCGGTTCCTCTTCATCCTTTGTCGGGTGTGGGGAGGGGGGCGGCGCCGGGGTGACCGCGGCCATTGCTCTTGTTTGCATCGTCCGTTGTCCGCCCTCGACGCATCTCGCCTTCCTGCCCCGTTCGCACCTGCCCGTATCCGCGTGGACGATGGTTGTCATGCCACTGTTGACTTCGGGCTGAGGGGTCCTGTCACTGTCGTGGGATCTCGTCTCGCTGTCCCGTTCACACCTGCCCGTAACCGTGTTGACGGTGGTTGTCATGCCAGTGTTGACGTCGGGCTGGGGGGTTCTGTCACTGTCGGGCGTTCTCATCGAGTGCTGGCGTCTGTCTGCGTTCGGACCCAGAAGGCGGTCTCCTGGGTTTGCGTTCGCCGCCAGTTGTCCCCCGGTTTCGTCCGTTCCCGGTGCCTATCTATGCCGGTCCGCGTTCCCGCTTGGTCCGGGTTTGATTACTGCCGTCTCTGGCCTGACGACTCGTCGGTAGCCCTGCCTATTGAACTTCACCCGTAGGGCTTGGTAGGCAGCCGGCAGAGTTACGCATCGGTTGATTGAGGTAGTTGTGGTGTGCCAGGCTTCGAGCGTCTCCCTGACCGTTTGATCGCTCCCTTGTCCCAAGACTTCGGCGTCTTGGAAGGCGAAGGCGTGGCCAAAAGCTGAGCAATGTTCTGCCACCAACGAGAGCTGATTCATTCTTCGTACCGCTCTTGCGTGCTCGTCCATGCGGGTCTGCAATCTTTTCCCGGTTTCTCCAACGTATTTTGCCTCGCAGGAACTACACGGGATCCGGTAGACGACGTTGGCAGTCTCGCCTCGTGGCAGAGGCGTTGTTGGTCTCATGACCAAACGTCTAATTGTCGCTTCGGGTTTCTGGGCGATGCCGATACTTAATGGTTGCAAGATACGAGCAACTGCCTCGGAAACGTTCGCAATATATGGCAGCGCTCGCCAGACTTTCGGCTGATTTGCCGTTGACTTTACGGTTGGTCTGGACAGTCTGCTGCGTTCTATAAAGCTGCGGGGGTAACCGTTGGAGATGAACATCCGCCGTAGATAGTGGAGTTCGGCTACCTTGTCGGTCGGTTCGCTGCAGTGGGTGTCAACTCCCCTGTAGAGAGATCGAACACAGCTTCGTTTGTGACACAGCGGGTGATTGCTGTGGTAGGACAGGATTTGGCGAGTGTTAGTGGCCTTCCTGTAGACCGTGGTTTTCAGGCTCCCGTTGACCTTGCGATGGACCAGAACGTCTAGAAACGCGATCTGATTGTTGTTCTCTGTCTCCATGGTGAATTGAATATCGGGAAGAACAGAGTTCAGTAGCGCGTGGAAATTCGAGACCATTTCCCGTTTGAGAGCGACGAAAGTGTCGTCCACATACCGCGCCCATAATTTTGGCTTATATGTTGCGAACACCAACGTCTCCAACTTTTGAAGAACAGCTTCAGCGATGAAACCGGATAGTGGTGAGCCCATCGGCGTACCTTTGATTTGTTCGTACACAGTCCCTTCAAATGTGAAGAAAGTTTGGAGACAGTATTTAAGCTGTTGCACCAGGTGCCCCCTCCTTGGGGTATTGTTTGCCTCCGTGTATTGGCTGTCGAGGAGGTCGCTGACAGTTTCGACTTCCAAGTCCTTTGGGATCGAGGTGAAAAGCGAAGTTACATCGAACGACACCATGACCTCGTCTGTGTTAATTTGCAGGCCTTTCAGTCTTTCCAGGAAATGGACGGAGGAGCGGACCGGCGTGTCGGAGCCCGAGGTGAGGCAGTTCAGGCGTCGGAACATCCATTTGGCCAGGTTGAATGTGGGTGTCCCGCGCAAGGATACGATGGGACGAAGTGGGGCACCATCTTTGTGTATTTTGGGCAGCCCGTAGAACCTTGCCATGGCAGCATCAGTCGGTTTGGTGGCCAGTCGTTCTGCCCTCGTCATCGCGCCATTATTTTGTAGCATGGTGAGCGTCGTGTTTATTTGCGTCACCAGCTTCTTCATGGGGTCTCCATCGCACTTGACGTACGCTTGCCTGTCCTCAAGCAAGGCATTGGCTTTCTGGAGGTACTCGGCCTTGTCAAGTATAACCGTCGATCGCCCTTTGTCTGCCGGTAGGATCACGATACTCTTGTCCGCCTTCAGCGACCTGAGGGCATCCTGCTGTGCTCTCGGGATGACCAATCGCGGTTTGTGCATCATAACCAGGGAGGTGACTTGTTGCCGAATGAGGTGCTGTGTCTCAGCTGGCTTTTGGGGGTGTTTTAGAACCGACTCGATCGTGGCCACGAGGTTCACCGGGTCGGCGTCCGTGATGTTGAATCCGTCAGCATGCTTCAGCACCGGAATCTGCTCTGGCTTAAATTCTTTGGAGGATAGATTGTGGACCAGTACATCGTTGTCGTCTTGTGCAGCTGAGCTTAGTTTTTGGAATTTATCCATCAACTCCTTATCACGTCTGGATCTCAATTCTCTGGCTCGTTGACCGATCACTTGGCTGAGTAGTGGTGCCTCGTTCTCGCCAACAAGCTCTGAGCACTTTGAAGACGAGCACTTTGAAGAGCCAGCTGAGACACAGCACCTCATTCGGCAACAAGTCACCTCCCTGGTTATGATGCACAAACCGCGATTGGTCATCCCGAGAGCACAGCAGGATGCCCTCAGGTCGCTGAAGGCGGACAAGAGTATCGTGATCCTACCGGCAGACAAAGGGCGATCGACGGTTATACTTGACAAGGCCGAGTACCTCCAGAAAGCCAATGCGTTGATTGAGGACAGGCAAGCGTACGTCAAGTGCGATGGAGACCCCATGAAGAAGCTGGTGACGCAAATAAACACGACGCTCACCATGCTACAAAATAATGGCGCGATGACGAGGGCAGAACGACTGGCCACCAAACCGACTGATGCTGCCATGGCAAGGTTCTACGGGCTGCCCTGTATTTCTCACTAAGCCTAACCCCGATGATGTGCTCGAGCATGAACACGAAACGTTAAATGAATAAACCTTCTTTTCCAGAGAGAGCCTTATCCTCCTCTTCCATATTAACACCTGGGGTCAGCATTTATGCCTATATCCATGTTTGTGTTTCCGGTGCCAGCTGCTGGTGGTCAGGGTTATGATTGGCTGAATGAAGGCAAACAAGCCCGAAATAGTGCTGTATCAATCTACCCCCAGACTCTGTCGTCTCCCCTCTGCTATCATAGCTTGGCCGACTTCGGCCTGGTAGGTGGTTGCCTGTTCGTGACCCCTATCGCCCATACGAAGCTTGTTTGCTTCGGGAAGCCAATGGATCGGTGTGCGCCCAGTCCTGAGTGACTATACATGTATATGCATACATATATATGCTTGAAAACGTTCGTTAATGTAAGTTTCTGGCTTTCCTACGACAGACTTATATCACTCTTGCATTTTCTTTCCAAGAACCCAGTTGTTTCTGGTTTTATCGACATTATTTCCTCGGGTCCATGCAACTAACTGCGGTAAGTAAACCATGGGGAGAGCAAACTGTTTTTGATCAACCGTTGCAGGGAAGAGAGTCTTTAAAACACTGAGGTACGGACGCGACATGGAGTTTTGGCAGTTCAAATTTATTTCTGAAGGCTAGCTTCATTTTTTCAAAGGCCTTTCCATTATGGGTAATTGTACTGTCAAACGGGTACTGAAATATTAATGAAAGAATTATCTGTATACGGCAATTTTAACAAAGGTATATTTTACACAAAGTAAGCGGACTACGTCAGATTCCTTTCTGCCTTTGGCACCTATCAAATTATCCAAGGTTAAGATCCACATGGATGTCATAGACAACTGTTTGTTTTCCCTTCAGTTCGAATGGCCTAAAATGGTTTGTTTCCCACCCTGGACAAGATTTGTGTCCAGGTGTTTTTCAACAACTGGATAATGATGATGGTACGAAGATAGCCCTTATCCGTGACTGTCTCTGACGATGAATTCGGATGAGACTCCGAGACGCCAGCCCAATAAGCATTTTGATCCAGCGATCGCATCTTCTTCTGAACTGCCTTCTGGAATTCATCATTCGCTTCTATCGGAATTGTGTGCTGCTCAGTATATGTAGTTCTCTGCAGGAGGTATTGTAAGATTTAGTTGCCGGGGGGACAGACACTGGTCTGCACAGTATAAAACAGAAGTTGGTTATTATGCCTACCCTTATCAAACAGCGGCCAGCTATGTTTTCTGTATTAGTTCTGTTTCAAAGTTGATGCACACAGTCTGGAAGGGCATTTCAAAGAGAGTTTTTCAGGAAATACTATGATATGTGCGTAGTTGGTTCTGGACTTGGCGCTTTCTAATGCTACGATTGAAGAGTTTACAGTTTCAATGATCATTACCCATGTAAATATATCGTCCTGATAATGAGTTACATAAAACATATGTTCACCAACTGACTTTCTAATATATTGAGGGTTCGTCCGTCTTGAGCACTAACGTCCATATTGTGCTATACAGCATGCCTAATATGGGGACGAGGATTTGCACGTGAATTAGTCTGTAGTGATAATAGAATCGTGCAACATCTGCCATGCTCTCTTCTCCCTCACTTGCCTGAGCCCCATTTAAAGACCGAGTCGAAATCTTCGGAAGCGGGATCGGGCGCACTGCCTAACCAAGCTAAGATGCCACGCAGACTTAGCGCGTTCACGATTCATCAGATTTCCATAGAAACAAGCGGACAGCTTGACTTCCAGCTGAGCGACGATGTCATAGAGGCCGTGGTGGGAAGCGACCACGGAAGCCTGACTCTCCTTCGAGAAATAAGCTACCCGTACAGTTGACAACCTTCTAAACCCAGACCTTTATTGCAACGTGATATTTCAAAAGTGCGTTAGCTAGTCAGTGACAAGGAACATGAGCTGTGTCGTGGAGACAGCTCCTATAATCAACATCACTCTCTCTTTCTCTCGAAGCTAAACAGCCCGACCCGGCCTGCACATAATCCACCAGGTCTTCACACACTGAGTATGGGTGGTTTGAATGTCAAAAGCCTTAGATTTCGATAGCGACTACATGTAAAAATCCGAAGTACATGATTTCTACTAACGTGATCCGTGCTTATTACATGTCGTGGGGTCTGATATGCGACGGCTCCGTGTGTGGTATGTGTGCATGGGGAAATCTATGGTAATGGGTTCGGTCTTCTGCAAGTTTCCACAGATTCTCATGAAGAAGCATGTAAAAGAGATAAGCCATGCTGTGACTGAGTGTGCGTGGGCAATTAGACAATTAAAGTAGGAGCAAGGGTTACATGTCGGAGTCCCAGGAACCGGTCTGCTGGTCTTCGCAAGCAACGGCCCATGCTGATGCTTAATGGGAAGTCACAATGAAGACTGGTTAGGATCGAGTTCACATTGTTGTTCGTAGGCTTGTAGGTTGAAGTATTGCCGAGAGGGGTCGCGCAGGTGGTGGGAGGAGTGATATGCGTCGCTGGGAGGTTCGTGACAGTGTCGATGGAAGTAAGTGGGAGTGTATTAATCAGTGGTGGTCATCGTGGATGTCATGGAGTTTCAGCACATGTGGCGATAGAAACGTTCATGGGGCGCAGATGCATTAGTCAAGACGTTGTAGCGCTTGGTCCAAAGACGCCCGACGAAGCTGATCCGTGCATGAATGTTTGTTGACAACGGGAATGCGAGGTGAGTTGCTGGATGTTGACGTTGTGGGTCGGAGGCGCATGAGACTTCTGAATGGCTTCATTATTTTTGCCATCGACCATCCAATTTGCTTCGTAGACTGTAACCTTTGCAGTTTTCACTGTTCTTTTCCAGGCCTCACGATCGCAGGCCAAGTTATGGCAGGTGCTTCGGTTGATTTCTAAAGTCTTAAAGGAAATTTTCAGGGTACTTATGGGATGCCGTTTCTGTTTTCCATGTGGATGATCACGCGCGAGGACATCGCCTAAACAAAGAAAGTTGTGAATGCGCTAGTCCTCCACCCTTTTGGCGTTGGCTCTCCAGTAAGACTTAATATGGCGTATGCGTTCAGGATTCCGGCTAGTGCCTGAACTTCCATGTCTAATATTCTGTCTTGACGACCCAGCTTCAGTATTCTCCAGAGGCTGTTTGAGCTCAAGTAATTAGGTTGCCAGACTTGGTTGGTATGGGCATACAATGTATCTGTCCCGCAAAGCAGCGTCATTAGGACTAACACCCTTCACATCACACGTTTCGATTAACGTGGAATTTGTGGGGGTTCTAGACTGAAGACTGTAGACGGTCGAAGTCCTGGTAGGCGGTTAAGATCCAGTGGGCCATTTCACTGCAAATCCTGATGTTTGTTTTAAAAATAACAATAATAACGTTAAAGGCTAGATAGCATTACGGACATTGACAAAGGAGACTGCAATGGCCATTTCTGGCTTATTAGCCACCGTTAGCCAGCCGTACCCAACTCCGAAGTGTGAGAGACATGGGAGTCGATCCCGCGGCCTGTCAGTTAGAAGTCCAACGCCTCTAACCATCGAGACACGAGCCCGTTTCACTTTACTTGCGATGGGGAACATGTAATGGTAGAGAAGATCTACCCGATCGTGTTACGGAATTCACTCTTCCCGTTGTGCTTAAGGGATCTCTTTCGAGTAGAACAAACAGCCGCACAGCAGCGTATGATATAGGCAGAATGTTAGTATCGGCAAACACAAGGGAGACCGGAATCGCTTATTTGCCGTCATCAGCGGGTCCTAAGGCAAAACATGTCGAGTGAATTCCGTAAATTGAACGGTGAGTGTTCCTCTACCATAATAATAATAATAATAATAAGATGATGAAGAAGATGAAGATGATGATGAAGACGAAGAAGAAGAAGAAGAAGAAGAAGAAGAAGAAGAAGAAGAAGAAGAAGAAGAATGTAGATTTGCCCATTGATGCAAGATGAATTATATCAGCGTAATATAAGTTTTAGTTTACCCCGCTCTGTGTACTGGAAGGTACATGACCACCACCTTATTCATGTTAATGGTCAGTACGCACATGATACAACTGGAAGGGAAAAGTCCTCATTCCGATGCATGTCCTCAGGCATCAGGGTAATAAGCTGGCAGTCCTATGCTTATGGATTGATAAAGACTGCGAAGGACCGCAATCTATCTGCACACTCATAGAAAAAAACTTCAGTGAGCGTTATGAGGATTGCATGTAAAAACGATGCAATTCAATGCGGCAAATTATAATTCGCCTCAACACAGACGGACACTCTCGAAATCGACATCCCACTAAAGGGTTACTACTGGGGTTTCTCATAATTAGCTTTATTGCCTAGAAGATATTTCCCATGACAGTGTTCCACCTAACTTTCCCTTGTTTCTTTTGCTGTAGAAGTCGTTCTCTGATCTTATCACCTCGTGTACTCGATCGCTTTTGACGAACATTTGGGTGGATTACTTTTCGGCTTAAGCTCCGCATTTTATTCTCCAAAAGACGCAATTTTTCAACGAGCTCGACATTATAGAGTCAGTGAGAAGTCTGAAAAGAGATTCCGAACGCTGAGCGATTTTAAAGACACTGTTTTTATTAACTGTTTGTGCAGTGTTTTTTCAAAAGGGCGAATGTTAGTAACGCGACCCATTGAGTTGAATGTATTTCTTGGCCTATATTTAGACAACGTTAATGGCTCCGTAAACGGTTTGACGTTTATTCTCAATTTTACAATAGTTACTGTTGGAGCAACATTGCGTCTGTTAGTATTTTCTTGAGCATCTACGTGATATTACACCTCCTAATATATTGTACTGACCGAGGTCAGCCGTCCACCAGCAGTTTAGAGTTGGGGGCCTGTGTGTGGCTAAGGATTTTTTTGTTTCACTGGGTCCAGCTTACGTCAACTCCGTCAAGAGTCTTGATAGCGGACCACACTTGCGGGAACTACCGACATGCCATCTAATCAAATACTATAGTATTTGATTAGATGGCATGTCGGCTATAGCCTCAGACCAACCGTAGGTGTCAGTCCTGGGCGATTGTCATGCCACCAGCCTTCTGGGTTGTGATGTTTTCTATCATCCTATGATTTACAGAGTAAGATATTGGAGGTGACCGCGCATTCTCTGCGAACATCGATCATAATTACAGATAATGTTGGTTTGACCGCGTCTAAGCTCGCATTATTCACGCTACCATATGCTATTATGAATTCGTTCGCGTACAAATTGCAACATTCGTCTATTATCTAGCACAAAACAATTGTATTTAATACAGGGCTGTCTTTAGACTTGGAGTTTGCATGTTCGGTCCTCGGCAATTTTAATCTTTAGTTATATGATGGAGGGAAGATATCCGGCCACTTAACGTGAATCCCGACTAAGGCTTGGTCTATTACCCAGTTGCCTTCATTCCAAGCTACCCTTTAACTTAGCGTGAAGCTCACAAGTACTGTTTTAACCCACTTCACTGTATCTCCTTATTACTATTTTTATGGCGGTCAAAAAACCTTGTCTGGATTATTTATTTTGGTCTCCCACATGCCTGGGTCTTCTAATTTTCGTCATTTTCTCCGTCACCCGTCGTGTAAGCCGATCTTTTTATGTCTCATTTTCCCCTAGGATTCCGAGCTTCAACAGGTCCTTTCGTTTTATTCGCCACTGTTTTCGCAGAGTCGCGTGCGTTCCTCTACTAGCGATTCTTAAACGCCCCCCGTTGCTCCTCTTTTCCGCCACTGCGGTTTCCGCTATATCGAGTGACGTTGAGGGTAGGCATACTACCGACTCTCCAGTGCCACCGACATTTTCCGCCATTCAGTTGCAGGTAGATGTCTCGATCGCTGTCGTTAATCAACTTCTTCTGGACTACGAATTTCAGCTCGCTTCACTTGCGAAGCTGAATGAAACCCACCGCACTCTGCTGCAAGAGATGAAACTAAGACCTGATTTAAATGAATATCAGGACGAACTGGTTTCAGTTCGTTCGTCATGGAAGGATGGTCTTGCGCGCTGCGCCGACATTACATACTGCATTGACGTTGCTCTGTCAGCCCTGCAAAAGTCGACAGAAGTTGCCATTCTCAGTGCTCCTTTGTTTTTTCCAAGTTCGGCAACCCACAAATCCGAGGATCTGTCAGTCGCTGATCGTGCAGCCCAAATGCTCAACTCTTTTGATGCCTCTCTTGTTGACCTACGGCAGAGACAAACCCGCCTTGTCGCAAGTTGGATCGAGGATGAATCAGAGCACATAAAGAATGTTAAATCGCCTGAGTGACTTGTGGCAGCTATTTGTGTATGCCTTTTCTAATCAATAGACGATTTTTCTCGTTTGGTCGCTTTTACAACTGGAATTTTCGGTTTCAAACATATCTGCGCGTTTTACATCGTTAAGTATGCAAACATATTTTCTGTATATCACACACTTTCACGTTGCAAATAGGGTAATCAAGGGCTTACACCTATTTCCTTCAATGAACTGAACTGAACTGAAAGATATTTCTGTCCTCTCTTCCACTAGCCTTTGGTTTTAGTCGCTACTCTAGTGTTTCCTCGGTTAATAGTGGTTGTAATTTAAAAATACCCTGACCAGAAATTTAACGGTTCATTACTTGCTGTATCCTCTTCTTTAAAAGCCTGTTGGGAGCTCTGTAGTGATTTCTGAATAGTTTATACTTAGTATGACTGGTAGTCCTTCCGTAGTCGTATCTTTAGACCATTTACGTATGCACTTCTTTTTATCTGACTCTTAGATGTCCCAAAAATTAGCCATTTAGTTCTTTTCCTAACAAATATACTATTTTGACATTGGGTTTGTACTCTCAGATCCCAAGGCCCTGCTGACTGAGCAGCAGTGGTCTGTTCGAAATGGCCGCGACTGACTGTTGTTCTCAGCTTCGTCAACTGGTCCAGGAGCTGTACATCTTTCGCGATACCTACCTTTGTACCACTCTTGATGGTAACCTCTTCACTGGCAAGGAGTCGGATGTTGTCAAGATCTTTCAGCCCCAAAACGCCGATCTTCAGCAACGTCTAACTGAGTTGATTCGTAATGTTGCCCAAGCATTCAACTCCAAACCTGACCTTATTCAGAAGCGGTTGGATGAGGTTCTCCGTGCCGTTGATCAGTGCGAATCTAGTCTGACATCTGCCGAATGCTCTGATCTTGCACAGCTATATTACCTGCGAGGAAGGGTAGGGTTTCTGGCAGTCTTTTTAATGCTAACTTTTTTCCGCATTCTCCTGAAAAGGGAATCTCAGAGGATTTTTAAGTATCTTGTCCTCTTTTCTGGATTCAAAGTTAGATAGGGGTGCGGTCCTCCATTTTAGCAATTTTTTAATAAAACATAATGCGTGGCATATTGTCTGTTTAAACACAATCACTGGCGACAGGTGCTTTGATACGACCAAGTAAGTGCTCACCTATGAAAGTGCTCGGGGTCAGAAATGTCATTAACTGCGGTTGAGGCCTTTTGTCACTGATTTGAGCAAGTACCTCAGGCATCTAACAACTTGCCTCACCACAAAGAAATCGATAACTCGTTTGTTACCTATGTATCCTTTTTCTTGCGTTGCCTACGATGGCAGTCGCCACTGTCTCTTGAGTTATGGTGAGCACAAATTAATGGTCTCCAGTCGGTTTTATTTTATTACTACACTATGTGCACCCAGAGACGAACTTTATTGCGAACCATCGGCCTTGACATATGTTGTAATCAAAACGGCTGCAAGCACTCAAAACCGGATAGAGGGATCAGGATGGAAGGGCCTTATTCATCTTAAAATTCATGTGCCGAAACTAAAATGAGAATCAGAACAGCGGCTAGTGAGGTAGAATTTATTCAGGGCGATAAGTTAACTCGACATCCTCTCCGGCCAACAAATAGAAAGATCGGAGTATCGAAAAATCTGTTGTAGAGGTTTTAATAAAGCAATTTTGGAGATTTTATTCGGAGGTAGTATTAATGAAGGCCCTGTTGTTGCTTAATCCATGTTTCCAGGTTGTGCATTTTGTCAACGTCATCACTGCATGTACCAACAGGCGTTGTAGCATTCTGCTTGTAGGCTGAACCAGTTTCATTTCCCTGCCCATTTTTAGTGAGCAATCAGGGGAAATCTGAGTGGGGTCTTTCATCTAAGGTGTGACCGTCCCCTGATGGCAACCATCGGACGTTTTCTCCCCAGGGAGCAAGCAGTCGAATGAATACACTTTCTCCTTTGCCCTTAGGGAAACGTGTGTGAGCATATAGGTCGAGGGGTTTCAGTACTTGGCCTTCGATTGTATTTAAACAGTGATGTTTTGCAAGCCGTTACTCCCGTTTCATGGGCGAACTCCTGAACGTCGCTTGACATAAATGATAGTGTGTACGCAGGAAGGGGTACCATATATGGAGAAGAGCTGGTATGTGCATTTAATGATTGTTTTACCAGGCAGATGCAAATTGAAACGGGAATATTCATCAATAATCGTCAGCAGACAACGATTGCGGGAGATGGAGCTTTGAAGTCGATTGACCATCATTCATACGATTAAGTACCTATGAGAAATTGGCCTTGTGCTTGAGAGAATTTTGATTCCACAGCGGGTTTCATATTTGGCAACAACATTGCGGATCTCTTTCATCCAAAAGGGGAGATTTCTGGCTCAAACAAAAGGCGATAGCCGAGAGACACCTGAATGGCGAAAGGTTTCATGTAGTTCTTTCGGTTTCGAGAGTTAATGGGGCGTTATATTGAACGGTGCTTGTTGTCGCTTTCGCAGGCTTCTTCAAATTCGTCTACTAATTTTGTTGATATCGAACAATTTTATTGTGAATAAGCGGCCAATTTTATCCGAGAAATGGTGTATTCACTGTGAATAGCAGGCGTACAACCCCATTGTCCGTTGTTTTGACTTGAAGTCATGCGATGAAGCTATCTCACGTAATGAACATGGGCAATCCGGATCTGTTGTAATGTAGCCCCTCGATGATTCTTAAACAAGTAGCTTAATTTGCTTAGCAGCGACGGCATGCTATGTTTCATTGGGATCCAGTCGGTATCTTTCAGCCACCTTTTAGAATCTTCGAAGGTCTTAGTTACGATCCGCAAGGCCGTTTCCACAAATACGGATACTTTATACCTAGACAAAAATGTGCTTCAGGTGCCCGCGTGTAATTTTGCCGTCCGTAGGTCGTTGAAAACATGCAAAGTTGTTGGTCGTGCGAAGAGCATTCGGCAAAATTGATACCAACGTCCTCAGTTTTCGGCCAAAAATCGTGATACTGCTCTATTGTACTTAGCTTTAAATTGTGTCGCATACTATCTTCTAGACGCCCTTTATTCATATTTCTTACTTGAGGGAATATGTTGTGCGTTGTGGACGTGAATTTCGACGCATACTGTAGCTTCTGCCAGTTTGTCCTGGAACACATGATTTTTTAGGGAGTCTTACGCGTGCATCATCACTAATTCTATTCCTTTTCGATGCACTTTCCTCTTTTCGTCTACCCCGTCCACTTTAGGCCTTGAATGTTCTTTCTGCGGAGGAGGAGACTCCCACCGGCCAATCGCAGGCCAGGTCCAACCTACTCAAATCTCTTAAGCTCGATCCCAACCTAAGTGATGCCTGGTGCGAGCTGGCCGAAGTCAGTTGGATGGAAGGGGACCCGGAGAGCGCCATTGGGCCCTTGAGGTCGGCTCTTAAGCATAATGTGAGTCCGCCCCTGATTTATCTGTTTTTTTTTTCAGCGTTGAATATAAAAGACTGCCTAGAACACGGGCAACGTATTTCCCGACTGATTTATGTTACTAGCGAAGAGAAGGGAAGCTGAAATGGTTATTCCTGACTTCTCTGCCGTCATCCGCCAATCATATCTCAACGTCGGCCTGCGAAGAGCTGAGATTTTGGCCCATGTCAGTTGACCACTGGGTGTTTGAGTCAAATGTACCGGTTAAGCCAGCGTCCGACGATCTGTGGGCTACAATCGGAAATATTCAAGCTCACATGGAAGCGGCTTTTAGTGATGATATGCGTGGGATTTGGTTTTACCTGGAAATCCTATTGGCTACCGACCGCAGAGTGGCGACCGAATTGGAAATGGGATCGCCCCTATTCTCTCCTGCAGTGCGATCAGATCGATGAGCGCGATTCTCGTATTAGTTTGGTTTATCTTCTCATTGTTGCGTCTTCAACGTCTGAGATGCGGGGACACCGTCTTTCGAATTGTTTCCAGCGGTTTAACTACCTGCAGGACAAACTTATGCGGCCCCTTGTGTGTACACTTTCAGTTGATTATTAGGACTGTTGGGTTGAGCTAATTGGGTCTGCATATTGACACTTATGTGGTCAAATCCACTCTCCGCGAAGAATCAAACCGAGTGAGCGGCATTTATAGAACGATCTTGTCAGAACGGTGTCGCTTTGCATGCAAGGTCTCCCCAGCACTGCAGCTTTTACCTTCAAAAGTCGGACAACACTCCCGTCGGTCTGATTCCCTAGTCCTCGCACTCATCCTCACGGTCCTATGTTTGTGGTGATTTCCCACGGGCAAAACGAAGTATTGCCACCTGTCTGTGCCCAACCCCTTGGTTGTTGTTTCTAATGCGTTTTGGATGAGACCTCCAAAAGTTTTTCTCTGCTAATCAGATAAAATAGTGTTATTCAAGTTAGGCTAGTCTAACATTTCATGCCCAAATCCACTAACTTTGACGCTGACAAATGGTTCAGGGCCAATGAAATGCCTACGTTACTCCTGCCTCTGCCTACTCCGTGCTCCGCCTTTAATCAAAAGCCAGACTAAAAAAAATTACTCTTTGCCTGCACCGTTTATTCGCCTGCCGTAATGGGCAACGATCATTATTGTCAGACTGCGTTTGAGTGCGGAGTGGCGTGGTTCGATGGTAGGCTGCTCAGCGTGTTTGAAATTGCCCGACACCCCCAATCCAGGCGTGTCGCTGTTGGGCAGTCAGTCATCGCTGGGCATGGCACAGCTTGTGTTTAGGTAAGTTTCGCAACTGCAACGTCGACCTCCAAATTCACCGTACTTCATGTTAAATCCGCAGGAGTAATCGGGCTGACGTGGTTTGACCGTCGAGCTCTGTGAGTTGACGTTGGATGACTTCTATGGGGTAAGATTCCTAGGAGCCGTCATATCTGTCTTGGCCCAAAGGGCAGTCATTTGTTTAAAGGTGAACATTGAGGTATCCAGCCCTATCACCTAGCCTAGACAGTACGTCTGGTGTGAGCGAGGTTGGTTGACGTTAGCGCTGTCCCAGGAATCAGCATCGAAGTAATTGCTGCTTTGTGTGCGATCGTTGGATCAATGTTAAGTCGAAATCCGGCATATTACTCGCAAGCCCCCAACAGGCAGTCAACAGTATCCGTACGTTGAAGAATTTAACATTCTGATATCTCGGTGTGAGGCCCACTTATGAGTCCTAACTTTCACAGTTGCATCGCGCGCCGACGCAAAATCGCCAAAACATGCGTCTGGGCTTTCTGTTAGTACTTCTGTCGCCAGCCTAGTGAACCATTTAGCCTTTACATATTACAGCCTGTTTGTTGGCAGCTTCTAGATATAGTGGGCGTTTATTCCGCAGAAAGTGATGGATTTTAGATCAGACATTCATGTCAACCTTTGAACCGCATCAGAAAGCATTTGTTCCAACGGGCTTGCTGTGAGTTAGCGAATTAATTTCTGTGAGGATTAAAAAACCGCAGCATTAAAAACTGAGGTATGTACTAGAAAGCACATGGGAAGCATTTACTCCAAGTTCGTGCATTAATTTCCTCGAGACAGAGTGAAGCTGGAGTTCATATACCAGAAAACACCCGGGGAAGGCTGGGAGACCCACTGATGAGCCGAACCCCCACGCAGCTGCGTCATGCAGCAACACAGGACCGGCGAAACACGCATGTCTGGGCTTTTAACTAGTGTCTACGCTGTCAGTACTGGCATCATCCAGCATTTGCTAAATCTGCATTAGTAGTGAGCACATGAGGAAAGGACTGGGACACGGATAGCTTTATTTATCTTTGTAAGCTTCCTTTTGGCCACAGGACCCGAAGCGTCGCCTCAACGGGCGTTCTGTCGTGGAATATCATGGGAGAGACGCAACTAGAATGAGTCACATGGAACTTAAGTCCATGTTTGTTGTTAGCTTTGAAGATTGCGAATTTGCTGTTTTCGTCCGCTCAATATGCAACCAAAAGCGTCTTTAGGCCTCTGTTGGGGTACACTACACTGTTACACTGGTTTCATTTTCAAAGCTCATTAGAGTGTGTGCTTTACAAGTGAGCGATGTCATGAAGGAAAATGAGCAGATCTATGTAGGGATTCCGGACACGTGACATATTGGGTTGTCTACTCAAGGTTGTTTCGAGACGTGCACTTCCCCACTGCCGTTTCAGGTATTCCCAACCTCGACCGATTATGGTGCCAGCACATAGGAATTAGCAAATCTGATTACTGTCCGCCAAGCATTTGTCCTCGGGGGGAATTTAGCATGGGATTCCTGACAACATCTGAGCCATGAGATTCTTTGTACGCACTTACAGTACATAATTTTGGTAAGATCGCCGTTGGTAGCCAGGCATTATACGGTGATACTGTCGACGTACGTACTTTTAATCAGTAGGTGTGCTTGCCTTGTCTAGGCAAATTGTTGTCAGTAGGTGTGGTCTTATTGAGTTAGGCAGGTCGCCCGTTTCGCTCAGGCTGTTGGGTTTAGTGAGGGTTAGGGCTAGGCGTAGGTTAAGTTTTAGAATTAGGGTTTGCGTTTTAGGGTCAGGTTTCAGTGTTAGGGTTAGGGTTTAGGTTCCCGTTAGGCTTATGACAAGGTTTTGGGTTAGCGTTGGGTTTTAGTATTTTGATTACGTTTCGGTTTCGAGGCTTAGTGTTAGGCTTTACGGTTGCTGTCAGGGTTGGATTTTAGGGTTAAGCGTAGGGTTTAGATTTCTGCCATTATTCCACCTACTTAAAACTTCCCAGCACTTTCCCTGGTAACTTTACTTTTACCCGGAATCTCCAGCATTCTTTTACCAGTCCTTTCATTTAACCCACCCATATAACCCCCTTTCCCACCATTCCCGTACGACAGGGACCTGCCTTTCCGCCTTCCCATTCCTGGCTACCAACTGCGATCTAACTCATATTTTTATCACAATTTCATTTCGCATTCATGGGAAATCTCCGTAGAGCAAGAGTATCTTATATCAGGACACTAAGGTCATTTTACTTATGTCATTATCGTTTCTTCTTGTTCTTTGTCTCGAATGTGATCGCAATGCTAGTGAAGGTGGTGGTGACCTTTTTTGCAGAGACATGTTTCCTTGCTTTAAAAGCTGCCCGGATAACTGTAGCAATTCAGCCCGGTAGGCATCTTTTGCCGAAGGGAAATTTTCGCAGTTGACACTGTTGGCGTTTTTATATTTCCTCTTTCTCTCAGCCTCAAATTCTTAGGTGAATGCCGAGCTCCGGTGTTAGTCTTCAGATCTGAACTAACGGCCACTCATCTGGCTCACTTGCTCTAAAACGTGCCTCCCAAACGGGCCACGTGGTAGATGCACTGGGCCAACACGAGGGCCATAGCGGATCCTAGCAGGCGTTATCGGATTGCGCACCATAACAAATGCCAACATTTCGGGGGTGCGTTTGCAGCCTAGGTTACTAGCAGACGTCGCGCACACTGGGACCCCTGCTGCCCCCCCCCCCTTCCCACCATCGTTGCTGTTGGTCAAAAACCTGGTCATTTACGTGCAGTGTGGACCACGGGGTGCGGCGTTGAGCGCCAAGGTGTGAACTCAATCGTGCCATCCACCTGCGCCATCCTCCGCCTCCGGTCTTCTTGACTCTATCTTGACGCCAAGCTCAGGTGGGCAGTGACGTAGATGCTGTGCAGGTCTGCTATGACCATAAACTTATTCACGCACAAGTCACCGTCCCCACTCCATCTTGCTGTGGAGGATATCGTCGGGCACGACGGTTCAACTGTCCATGCAAATGGTTAAAATAGCAAAAACTTTTACATGGGAGGCTGTGATGACAATTTCCGACGTGTTCTCCGTCACCAGCCAACCTTATCACATGGAACCTGAGATCTGACAGGCTCCAGGCTGTAATCGCGCCGTATTTCACTGTACAATCCGGAATGACTTTTCCCAGCAAGTCCCACGACCGCAAGTCTGCTAACCGATTCTGCCATTCAATTACTTCCAAGTCACTGCGGTGAGTGAATGTGCATGGGCGGTGTGTGGGCAGTTGAAGCGGTTGCAGTAGGTGTATGTGGTGTCTCCTGGCACCGGTTCGTCAGTTCCCATGCTGTGGATTCGCGAGTAATCGACCAGACCAATGCGTTCTGTACATGCGCGGTAGTGGCAAGTGCAGGACAGGTTCGGGGATGCAGAATCGATTGGGACGGTGAGACTATTAGCTGTGGCCGTTCTGGTGGATGGCGAGTTGTTAGGGCTGAATACAGGGAAGTTGTAACATATGTAGTGTGGGTTGGGAACCTGTATATTCCGGTGAGTTTGGCTTTCGTGGATGCGCATGTGATCGAATAGGCCCATGATGTGAGTGCATGTGCATATGTAGTGCAGGTAGTGGGTGCGGATGTATGTCGGGGCTCCGGGCACTGGCGCACCGGTCACAGTGCGATGGGCCCGCAAGTGGCCGACGAGGCCGCTGCATAAGCCAGATGTCCGCATGAATCGTACTCTTTTTTTATCCTTTCTTCTCATTGATGTCAAGCGTCAGCGTCATTCGGAACATGGAAGCTTCAATGATCTCATGCCTTCTTTCTTGTTTAACTCTGTTGACATAAGTAGTTACCTCTTTTTATTTTGAGGCATTTCTGCAGTGTTTAATCGGCATTCTTGTACCGGCCCATTCACCACTGACCCAGCTTTTTGTTACTTACAGCCTAGACACTCTGAGTCGCTGTGGAGGTTATCTATGCTTCTTAGACAGCTTCATGGTGAGGATAACAGCAAGGCCAAAGAGGCCCTTCTTGCGCCCTCACCGGACGCTGCCGATGTCTTGAACCTGTTACCACCACTGGACATATGCGACACTGCCTCCTCCTCCTCCTCCTCCTCCACTGATGACGCCAGCAAGGCGTCCACCACCTCCCTCCTCCTCTCCGTCCGCCTAGCTCATGCCGCCGTCAAGGCCGCCCCGACTAACGGGCGCGCCTGGGAGTGTCTAGGCAATGCCCTGCTCACAACCTTCCTCACTGGCAGTCCAAGTTCGGATGCCCTGGTCAATCGTTGTCTAGCCGCCTTCGCTCAGGCCGCCAGAGATCCGTGCGTTGCCATGGCACCACACTTCCACTACAACAGAGGCGTGGCCTGGCACTATCAGGTTGTGTGTTTATGCATCGTGCTGTGTTAACTTTGAGGACACTGTAATTGGCAAACATTGCTGTTACTCTCCCTCTCCCTCTCTCTCTCTCTCTCTCTCTCTCTCTCTCTCTCTCTCTCTCTCTCTCTCTCTCTCTTCCTGCAGGCTTTTATTGGTGCGACTGTGGTGAATTTTAAGGGCCTCAGTAAAGATTTGAGTATAATGCAATCGCGCCTCCGACACTGTTGTAGCTTGCTTTTACTCAAAGCAGACCAGTGAAGCCGTGGCTCCCCGTTCGGTGGTTTCATCGGCTGGTCTAAATGAAGAATGGGTCCTGGACTCGAACATAGATGCCTTCATCCAACCAACCGGCACCCCTTTTTCGGATTCCAGGATTGTGCCGGACGACGGAAAATTAGGCCTTATTGGATGGTCAGCAACATTTGATACTGCAATGGCTCGCGATGGTTTCGTAGGTGACTTATTCGCCAGATCGCTACCTTTCCACGTCTGAAAGTATTGCCAATACTGCTTATTTGTCAAGTCTGAAAGCCTGCGTGGCTAGTCTTAATTGAAGGTTGTCCCTTCATCTACTACCCATGGACCGAACTCTGCTGGCTGCTTGATGAAGCCAATACCGGCAGAACGTGGCTTTTGGATTAGAGATTCCCTTTGTTGTGGAGAGAGAGGAAAGAGAGAGCGCGCGCCATCTCCGTCGTTATCGCGTCAAACAACCAAAACGAAGATGATTGTCCTGGTCTGTCTCGCTAGCTGAGCCGCCGCCCCCATGGCAAGTGTATCTGGCCAGACTGTTTAACAAGCCACCTTCGTATACCCTTCAGGAAAGCCCTCGTCACGTCTGTTGTCTCCATGAGCCTCCACGTTTCCATATTCGCGGCCACCTCTGTGGTACTGTGAGCAGTACTTCTGTTTTGATGGATGAGACACGACCGCTGAGACAAGAGCTTTTATTAGCCTGACGTTTCGGATTCCTGCTCGAACCCATCATCAGAGACAAAACAGATACGGGTCTCTGATGATGGGTTCGAGCAGGAATCCGAAACGTCAGGCTAATAAATTTTTTGTCCCAGCGATCGTGTCTCCTTCTTCGAGACTGCTTCCTGGGACTCGTCTCTTCGCTTTTATTGGCAGTACTTCTGTTCTTCAAAATTACTAGGGTACCAATTTATGTCTATAAGGACTATCCCCGCGTGGTCTCCGAATGTTTTGAAATTCCTAGTGCTTGTGATGGACTTAAACGGGTTCCTGTTGACCAATTGGAGACCACGCCTTCAGATGCACTCGCCTGCACAACCTTTGTCCGACTTATTTCCTCCCGAGATTGGGCGTGTAGTGCGATTAAACATGCAGTTATCGGCCTGTTTACTTTCATCGGGCAAAAAGCTCTGAATGTGTTGGTAGGGTTAGCTATACTGTGACCGCCTACCACGTCGAATAAGAACCAAGCGATTATAAACTGCGGTTGGGAAGTGCAAAGACTCGGATGGCAGCTATGTTCGGCTTATTTACGCCCTATTCAATCATAATCATCGCCGATTGTTGGTGTGACTTGACTTTCTGTCGGCTTTTTGTTGAAGTTTCTGCACCTTCAGTGATGCATGAACGCACTTTCTCCCCGAAAGCCCACTAGATCAACATCCCTTTTTAGGGGGCCTAAAGTTCGTCTGCCTATGCCGCACTTTCTGCTTTGGGTAGATATTACTGCTGGAAAGATTATGGTATCGTCATAATTCCCTGAGACCGAGGCGAATAACGAGATCGCGTTCCGAGATGTCCTTCTGCGCAGACAAGAGGATGGATCCATCCAACGCAAGATATTCAGGAAGAAAACCTGGACGGGACAATACACTAATTTTCACAGTTTTGTTCCCTTAAATCCTAAACGAAATTTAGTCCAGGGACTGGCTGCTAGAGTGCGATGCATCTGCTCCCTGAAAGTGTTGAAGCAGAACTCCAGCAGCTGCAAAACGCACTCCGCGAAAACGGCTATCCAGAGCGATTCATCTTCCGGAAGAGCGTGTCACAGAACCTGCCGTTGCAACTGCAGAGAAGAAAGACTTATTTCTAAGACTGTCTTTTCTAGGAGACGCCGCAAGCGAATTAGTGAGACGACGTCTTAGTACAGCTCTCGCGAGTGCCTTCTTCGGAGCGAATTTGCGCGCATTCTTCGCAAACTCCACTCTACTACGGTTCGGGAGCAAAGACCGGCTGCCGTTACAGGCCACATCCATGTGTATTTATTTATTCACCTGCTCCTGTGGAGCGGGATATATTGGCCGTACAACGAGGCGTCAGGAAAAGAGAATACGCGAACACATGTCTGCCTGGCCAGATAGAAGTGAAAATCGGTCGATTTCGAGTTCAATTCTCGCACATCTGATCTATACGAACCACCATGCCGACGCTAAATAAGCCATTAAAGTTATCTACCGGGCACCGGCACACTACTCTATAGGCCTGCGCAAACGGGTGCTAGTCACAGCCGAAACAGTGGCCATTCGACTACCGAACCCAGCACTCTGTTGTCAGAAGACGCTAACACAAGCAGTCTGTCTGCCCTGGCCGACTCCAGACGGTGATCGCTTGCCGTCCCGACACCCTGAGAGCAGTCACACGCACGCACAGCGCTTACAATCTAACCGGAACCCCTCTCCTTACCCCCTTCCATCCCTACTCCACCGTCCTCAACACGCTGACTCCGTCGTGCAGGCGGCGTGGCAGCATGGAATCCGATTAACCCTGCCCCTGAGACGCATTTATCTCCTGTCTACAATTAGAATGATCATTAGCCATGTAAATGTACCGGCCTGATGATGAGTTACCGAAAACATGTTCGCCAACTGACTCTTCAATCCCTGATAGTAGTCAAGGCCTGCTATCAGTCCTCAAAAATAAAGTCTCATGCATTGCTATCTGCCTCGTTGTCTGTCTTTCGCGTTCAGCTCTTTGTTAGTTCGGTAGTATTTGGCTCTCTCAACTATCTCTTCACGAACGCCTGGAGTGACACACTGACGACTAGTGGTAGCCGCGAAACTCCTGTCTGCGTCATCTCCCTCTACGCTATTTTTCACGCAGATGCCTCGCCGCTATAGTGCAGAATGTGGTTCTGTAGATACCAACGTACTCACTTCTTTCGGCAGCGATCGGGTGAGGGACCCCAAACACACATGACCAGCCAACGTTTCCTGACTTACGGGAAATTCGGTAATAGGTGTTCTTTCTATCTCTCTCTCTCTCTCTCTCGCCTGCCACCTCCAGGACAATTTCTCCGAGGCCATACTCTCCTGGTTTCGTGCCAGCCTCCTGGATCCCGCCTGGCCTGCTCCGCGCACTTACGCCATGCGCTTGACTTCAACCCTCCGCCGCATCGCTGACGAGATGGCCGGCGTTGGCGCCAGTGCGAAAGCTCGGCGGCGACTGCAGGAGCTCATCCAGCCGTTGGCTGCTTGCCTGCAAGTCTGTCACAAACAGACAGCAGTGCCCAGTGGCAACAGCGGCGATGCAGATGAAGCTCCGAGGGTGCAGAAGGTGCAGAAGACGACCTGCGCAGCTCTCACTCGTCTGCTGGGACCCTTCTTCAATGAGGGACAGGTGGCTGGTCCCTCAGCTGCTGCGAACACACAGAGACGTCAGAAAGCGCTCTCGGTGTCAGCGGACCTGCTGAAATGTCAACTTCGACTCTTTAATGACCTACAGGTTTGTTCCTGTGTACGATTCAAGTTGATCGTGTGATCTCAAACAGTTAGTAGTAAAAGGTTCTTCCATCACAATTCGCCGGGGGGTGGGCTAACTCATGAAATGTCAACAGAAATTCTGAAATGCGTTTTCGTTTCGAAAAGATAATTTAAATGCGGTTGTAAAATTAGTCGGCCTGCAACATAATTCTATAATACTTCAGTTACCTACGGATGCCGGCCTCGGACTGAACTTTCTTCCGGCTGCATGTAAAAACTACACTCTAGAAAGACTACTTAAGTGACATGAATTTTTCTTATTGATTTTCGATGCCCCTAAATGTCCAATTATGTTTCATGGAAAACATGCATAAAAATATTCATTCTTTCGCTCTTTTGGTAGATAATTAAGTCTTATTCCAACCTTATACCCGAAGGAAGGGTATAATTCGGTTTTCAAAAACTTCTCTAATTCCCGAATAATTTTGAGCCCACTCTACCGTTACACTTGTATTCAGGGTTTCCAAACTACAGGTCGTATATTTTCCACGTACGGAAAACCATACACTTCTCTACGGCACTAAGGGGAGACCATATAGGGTTCAAAAAATTAAGCAGTGGATTTCAGCCATATTGTTAACCTAACAAGCCACATTAGCAAATACAGAGACATGACGTTTTACGAACGACCTGATGTGATTTTCTACCGAATAAGTTAAAGAATGAATATTTTTATGCATGATTTCCATGAAATATAATTGAATTTTCAAGGGCAGCGAAAATCAATGAGACAATTGCATGCTACTTAAGTAGTCATTTTTGCAGAGTATAGATCTTGCCTGCAGCCGAAAATAAGTTTTTTCGAAAGCCGACACCCTGAGGTAACTGGATTATTATAGATTTATGCTGCATCATGATTAGTTTTACAACACTACTTAACTTATCTTTTCGAAACGAGAACGCATTTCGAAATTTTGGTTGACATCTCATGAGTTAGCACATCTACTGTATGTTTGTTTTATTACTCCAGCGAGGTACCGAAACAGACAGCGCAATTTAAAATTGACTAACTAGGGGAGTTAACAATATGGCTCAAATCCACTGCTAAATTTTTCGAACCTTATATGGTCTCCTCATAGTGCCGTAGAGAAACGTATGGTTTTCCGTACGCGGAAAATATACGGCCCGTAGTTTCGAAACCCTGTGTCCAAGTGTAACGGTGGAGCGATTTCAAAATTATTCGGTAATTAGATAAGTTTTTGAAAATCAAATTATACCCTTCCTTCTGGTATAAGATTGGAAGAAGACGTAATTGTCTACCAAATGAGCGAACGAATGAATATTTTTATGCATGTTTTCCGCGAAATATAATTGGACTTTAGGGGCATCGAAAATCAATGAGAGAAACTTATGCTACTTAAGCAGTCATTTTTGCAGACTGAAGTTTTTGCATGCAGCCGGGAGGAAGTTCTTTCGAAAGCCGCTATCCTGAGGTAACTGAAGTATTGTAGAATTATATTGCAGGCTGACTAATTGTACAACCCTACTTAAGTAGTCTTTTCTAAACGAAAACGCATTTCAGAATTTCGGTTGACATTTCATGAGTTGGCCCACCTACTGTATGTATATCGTGAAGTGGACTTGCGCAGCCTGTTCCCCTCTTTCCCTGCATCCACGACGTCGCCACTTTAAGCCAAGTCAGGTAATTAATTAAACGTCGGCGCTGTGGCTTGCGAAACTGAAACCACGTCTGAGCGCAACACATGCGTTCTGACCCTGGACTCCACCACGAAGCACTTACGTGAGAAGTCTCGATCTCCCATTTGACTAGGCCGTGCACATTATATTTGGAAAAGACCATTGTCTTAAGTAGGATCGAGTAATACTTCCAGTTGGCCGCCTTCTGTGCCACAGCTAATGATATATTTCAAAGTCTGTACGGTTGCTAAAACCAGCTGTTTACGCAGAGCTGGGTTGACCTCACTTCACCATCTGCCCTGTCAATCCTATATCCAAGTCAGGCTCAAGGACTCCTTCATAATATGCCCTAATGTGCTGTCATGTATGGGAGATCCGAGCGAACCACCCCTTCGCGCGATAACCGAGCGTGCTTCTCGAGGGCCAGGCCGTGTGTCGCATGCGCAAACGGGCTGTTTAGCCCTGTCACCCGTTTGTGTCCAATCCCCGTATCGGATGACTAACCGGCTTGAACAGTGTGCTGGCAACTGGGAGAGAGAGTGAGGTAGACTCAGGCGACCGTGTCTCCACGACACTTAGCCCATATTCCTGCCTATAAACAATCTGATGCGCTTTTAAACTATCACAGTACGTCAAAAGCCGTACTTACTTGTACTTGATACGGCTGCAATCATGCCTGATCTAGCCGGCCTCGATGATGTCACGAACTGTACCTCTCCACGCGTGACGATCCGCGGCAGCAGATCTGGACAGCTTAATCCATTCCCTTCGCCAAGGACGGAGACCGAAGGTCCAAGAACCACCTCCATGCCTTGAAGAACTGTGTCGACCCAGGTTGTGAACTGACTCCCTCTTCGACGCCTCCACTGGGGCAACGGTGCCGGATCGAGGGTACCGAGGTATTTAAAACTGCCTACTTCTGGAAGATGACAGCCATCAATCCCAAGAGGTGCCTTCTCCTGGTCAGGGCTGCAGCTTGAAAACTGGTCTTCCCAGCGTTTATGGACAAACCGACCGATTTAGCGACCTCGTTAACCCGTATTACCATAGACTGCAGATCACCAAAACTTGAAGCAAGTAAGGCGACATCGTCGGCATAGTCGAGATCAGTCAGTCGGTGTCCGGGTGCAAACTCAATGCCGTCACCGTCGTGTAGGGCCCTCCCGAGGACCCGGTCAAAGCATAGTTGAAGAGAATGGGCGACAGGATACAACCCTGTCGAACGCCAGACCGAATACCGAACGGTTGGGAAAGATTGTTGCGGACCAGGTCTCTCGCAATAGTGGAGCGATGATAGGCCGTCGTTTGGAAGACTGCCAACTAATGGCTTCTTAATATAGCCTCTTTGGCACCCCCACTCAATTGGCACCTGAGCTGCCCCTTTGTCGTGTGTGTGGCACGTGCAGATGAGCAGCCAATCGTGCACTGCGAAAATTGGCTCAGAAACCCCCGGCCCAACATATTGTTTAGATAAGGAATATTAGTACTGGTGATTCATTGTTTGGCATGAGCTTTGCCACCTGAGATCTGATCATCGGTCTTAAGGGACTCATGTTCAACGAGGATGACACTTGTCTCATATAATAACACTGCATAACTTCAGGCCAGGTTTGAATTGTTGCTGCTTTGTATACCATCGTCTGCATGATCTAGCAGTCATCACTGCTGACCACTAACTTTCATTTTTTGCAGACTGGATCCAATGTTGGCAGTGTATGTTGCGGTCGAGTCGTCACCAGTCTTCCCTGTGACAGTGATCTGGTCTTGAATTTGCTCTGTGTTGATGCTGAGAGCAGCCTAATGGTCCTGAGGATTTACCACATTGGCAAGGTAAGTGGCCAATGCGAAGAGATGTAGTGCTTGTGTCAGTTTTCCGCGGTCTAATTGGCTCCTTAACAGTACTCTCCATTTCTCACTGTTTACAGATGACCTCATCCAGCATACAGCACTCAAAAAGCGTCAGTTGCCATCGCATACTGTTTAAAATGAATGTTGTACGCAAGCCCGTGGTAACCACTAACGACGCCTGTGATTGATGTGACGGCGACACCTATCGCGTATAATGTAGTACAGTGTCAAGGCTCGCAAATCCCTCGTCACGCAGAAGTAACTGAAAGGACAATCCTCATTGCGACGGGCAGACCTTGCGCCTACAGGCAGGGTCTCTGGCAAAGCACTAGGTGTGTTAAAGTCCAAGCGCTGGTGATCGCAAAACTCGATACACATCCCGACGACCGCGGGGAGGGGGGACAAAGCTGCACGGCTTTGTCTGTGACAGCCCTACCTTAACGGTGGCGTTAGCAAATCCAAGCATGTTAGTAGCCGCAAGTCCGTTGACGTAAAGGCTTTCCGCCTTATTCTGGCGCAATTGCGAAAATCAAGTTCGGCGAATAGCCGGAAGGATGGCTCCCGACGAAAACAGCTGAACGCTAATTAGCTCCAGTATTGTATTATTTTATTACAGATTATTATTACAGTGTATTATTTCCGGGCAAGGGTCGAGAACGCTGTTCTGGTCCCAAGTGCAAGCGCAATGTGGGCATTGAAAGTAAAGTAAACCAACGGGGGATGCTGGAATCGTTAGTGGGGAAAGTGGCCGAGGCTGAAAAGGAAAAGGCATCCTGACGTATGACAAGTCTGGCGCGAGATAGAAGGAAGCCAGGAATCCCCGCAAAAGACCTGGCTGGCAGGAAACGCGGGGCAACAATACCCCGAACCTAACCGTAACCTCGAAAGTAAAACTAATCCTTGGCGTAATTATAAACCTAAAGCTTACCGTAAACTTAACACTAATGGTAGGGGGCGCTCACCGATCGTTCTTACGGAGCGCACTCGTTCCGTTGTGCCGTACGGGCTCTCTCTCGAGCCCAACCAGCAGCCACACAGCGACGCATGATATAGGCAGAATGACGTTCCCTTGTCTTTGTCGGTAATGCCATTCTACTTAACACTAAACCTATCTCTAGACCTACCACAAACCCTAGCCCTAACCTTCAGCCTAACATTAACCCTGACCCGAATCTTAACCCTAACCTTAACCGTGGCCCTAGCCCTGACACTAGCCCTTACCCCCGGCCTTAACACTGAACTGCAACATAAACCCTTATTCCAGCCGGGACTCTTAAACTTAACACAAACCCTAAATCTAAACTCAATTCTCAGCCTGACACTAACCATAACCCTGAAATGACCCTACCTCCTAAGCGAAGCATCATGTTACACTTTTCTGTTTTAGCCTTGACTACTTGACCACTAACGATTTCAGGATCTTCACTTGAAGCGTCCACATCCCGCTTACAGTTGGGATCAGGACATCTTAACTGACCCCTACCATTTTCCCATAGAATGAGACTGACACCTCCACGAATAGCGAAATATGCTTGGGTCCTCAAGTGCTTTAGTCATAAATTTCTCGCGCGAAATGTATTTATCCTCGCAACGACCTTCGGCCCTATCGATCTTGGACACGCAGCTTATCACCGCCAACCTAGCGAAAGGACTTGGCGAATGTGGCCGTCGCGTCATTATAGCGCCGCACACGAACTCCTGCGTTGGAACCCCTGTAATCGGTGGGTCGCGCTTCATTCGCCATTCAAAAGCCGTGCAGCCGCGCAGCATGGGTCTCCAAAACAGGCGGTAGTGTTACGTCCTACAGTGAGCGACCGATCTCATGAAATGTTGGCTGAAATTCTGAAATGCTTTTTCGATTAGAAAGGATTCCTTGGTCGCGGTTGTAATACTGATTATCTTGCGGCATGATCATATAACATTTCAGACTTTGCACGATGTCAGCTTTCGAATACTCCCCTTTTCAATCTCCTGTAGAAACCGTAGCCGTAAAAACGACTACTTAAGTAGCATGCATTTTTCCCATTGATTTACGATGGTCTTGCAAATTCAAATATATCTTATAGAAAACATAAACAGAAATATACTTTCTTTCAGTCAATTAATAGAGATTTGCGTCTTCTCTATATTTTAGGCTCAAGGACGGAGTATAATTAGGTTTTAAAAAAGTTTTCTAATTGCCGAATAATTTGGAGCCTGATCATTCGTTGCCTTAGCGCTTAGTGATTTCAGTCTATAAGGTGCATGCGCTCCGCGTAAAGAAAATTACATATTTTTCTTTGTCATTAAAAAGATAACATACGGAATCTATAAACTTTTGCAATGGACGCGGACCATGTTGTACATTTCACGAGGAGTTGCGGTAAACGGTCAGTTGCAATGCTATGTGAATGGACATTGCGGGGTCTTAGAAATCTCATAATTAGGAACCTTTTTTAAAACCTAATTATACGCCGTCCTTGAGTATAAAATATAAAGAAAACGTAAATCTCTGTTAATTGATTGGAAGAAAGCATCTTTTCGTTGATGGTTTCTATAAGATATATTTGAATTCGCAAGACCATCGAAAACCAATGGGAAAAATGCATGCTACTGAAGTAGTCATTTTTCACCAAGCACGCTTTCTACAGTAGATTGAAAAGTAGTGTATTCGAAAGCTGACATCCTGCCAAGTCTGAAATGTTATATGATTATGCCGCAAGATAATCAGTATTACAACCGCGACCAAGTAATCCTTCCTAATCGAAAACGCATTTCAGAATTTCAGCCAACATTTCACGAGATCGGTCACTCACTGTACATAAACTGTGTCCAACGGGCGTGCAGCAGGCGACCGAAGGAGGCCTTATGCAACGTCAGCCAGCCCATCTGATTAAAGCTGGCTTAGCCATCGGTGCATGACCGAGGAGAGAAAACGGAGGGCTACCGATACCGCCCCTCAATTTCTATGCCAAATCGGATCCGTCTTTTAGTCATCGCTGTCCCATGGAAGACTACCAACTGACGGGACAAGTCAGTCCGCGCAACTCAAAGCCGGTTGGCAATGGCACCTTACTGTGACACTATGGCAACTCTCACTGCTGTGATATCCGAGTGATTTAAGTCTGACTTGCTTGCGTGGCGTGCGGAGGCATCCTAACTCAGTCCCCTCCCACATGCGCACCTCCAGTCGTGTTGCCATTGGGATTTATTGCTTTCGCTGGGCGAACCGTCGGGGTCCTAATTGCTGTGAAATGAGGGTGCCAAGTCTATGTTGCGTTCGTCTCCCCTGCTGCAATCTAGTCCTCACCCTAGTCGTCCCTGTTATCCCCACGACAGTATTAATCTTTGACATATGAGCTGGCCATATTGTGGGTATGGCGTTGTTTAAGTATTATTCTATTCTTGATGTTTGGTTAGAGTTGGAATCCAAGACTTTGGGCTAGTTAGACCGATGTTCTGTCGGTCGAATGTCCTTTCTACAAGACTTTGTTTCGATCCAACTGTAAAAAAAACTCGGCAGCCACTGTTGGATTCAAGTCCATGACAGTAGGGGGAGGTTTGAATACAGCCAACGCTCTAGCCATCTGAGCTACGGGGCCCCGCTGGGAGCCGCAATTTTAATCACATTTGGGCCAAATTACCCTCCCA